ATAGCATAAGCTTACCAGAGCTAACTAGCCCTTTTAGCAAAGGAAGAAAAAGGAAGAGGTCATGGGGTCCTCAGAAGTTTTGATGCCCTCCAATAATGCCTGATTCTCAGGACACAATTTCAATTGATTTTGAAAATACATAAAATGGTTTTTAACTCCATCTATTGATACTCATGAAATTATTTATTTGAATACTTATATTTAGTTGTCATGACATATTATGTTATAATTCTTTTAAATTATGATAATGTATTGAGTTCTGCTCCAGGACAAAGGCTTTTGCAGACACCATCTACCTACTACATAGTTTAAAATAAATAATACTCAGCAAACTCCATGAAAACATACTTTGCTGTGGTGGCATTGCCAGGTTAGTTTCTTCAGTTATTTGAAGAAGTTATATTTTGAATATATTTTATTCAAAGTATGTACTTCATACAGCAGACATGTTCTGTCCCTCTTCTCGAGAATCAATAAATATACAGACTTATGCAAAAATACAGAATAAATCTGGCTAAATATAGAAGAAGTTTCAAATGCTCACTGTGCATAATATGCTGATATTAGCTGAATGATTAGTCAGGCAATCTGCCGAGGTAGCCTGCCTACAGTCAGCTATTAACATACTCATATTTTTAATTTCACATGATTAATTTGTCTTTTTCTTCTGCATTAAAAAAGCGGAAGTAGTCCTACTGTTGCCAGCTGCGTTCAGCAATAGGTTGGGGAGGGGTAGATCTGCACCATTTTTTCCTTTTACTCCTTTTCACACAGAGAAAACATTGGACTCGGCAGCATTTCCTCTGGTATCTCCAGAACCGTAGGAATGTGTTTTATGCAGTTCTGCCACCTACATCAGTTTCCTCAGTGTCTTTGCTTTCTCTCAAAACACATTTGCTATAATTAAAGCATCAAACAGAAATCCATATTGCACATCAGGTTTTCACATTCCTCTCTATTTTCAGTTCTTCAGCTTTACAACTAGTTATCCTCGTCACGTTGATAGGCTCTGTTTTGGCATCCTTTGTGTTTATCTCCATGTTTGTCATCACGGCTCTCACTAGGATCAGGGGGTCTGCTTGCGCCTCCCGTGGCTCCATAGTGACTCCCTTCTAGCCCAGAGGAAAGGTGAGCGTTCTCTGCCTGCTCCTCCACATGATGACCTGTAATCTTTGAGAAGGTTGGGAAAACTTATGAGCCCTGAAATACAAAGAATATCCTGCTTATGCTGTAAAATAATTTAGAAATCATTTAAAAGTATCTGGGTACGTGGAGTTAATGGAGCTGGACATAAGGTACTGGATATAATCTAGAAAACTCTATCCTGAACACCATCATCATGCTACCACATGGTGGTGGTAGTGTGATGATGTGGAGGTGCTTTTAGGGTATGTCTCATAATCATTGGCCACTTTTGCAGCCAATCCTGGCAAGTGATTGGTTTCCATGGGAGGTAATTCACCAGAGCACAGAGCCAGAACAAGCAGTTCCCCTCCAAAACAGTCGGTGGCAGCAGTTCTATATGCTTAAACAGCATATATTTGTAGATGTATGTATTTATTATTATTATCTAGTGAATTAGTTTGGAAAAACAATCGTAGTGCTCCAAATTGGTCCAGGCAGCGGTCAGTTGTTGGACACCCAAATGGAAATATGTGGCTCTGCCGCTGTGTGGTAGTGACAGACTTTCAGCTGTGACTGCAGGAAGAATTTGATTCTATACTATATTAAATCAGGTGAGCTGGATAAAGACTCACTGCTTCACAGCCATGCTCTACTTTGTGTCGGCCTGTTGCACAAAATCACAGACCACTCTGATTAGATTTCAGATATTCCTGAGCTGTAGGTTACCTTCTGCTCACGGTAATATCGATCCACAGCGTATTGATATTTGGCTCCATTCAGCCCAAGAGCGCCGGCCAGTCTCTTTCCAAGGAAATCACAAGCTGGTTTTAGAAAGACAAAGAGCGTCTCATTAGTCTTCCTGTTTTTAGTCTGATGACTTCTGTGGCGCTACATACCCAGCAGTGACATCCTCCCAACTAGAATGGCAACATTCTTGAACGACAGCCGGCCCTGAGGAAGAAACATCTATCTCATGATCTACCACTTTTGACTTCCAAACAGATTTCATCCTCTGAACAGATTCCCACCCTCCCCGTTGGCTCTTCAAAGGGGGTTCTGTGTGACTTCTGCTCCTCTGCTTCATCTTCTTCAGAGTCCTCCAGCTCCAGACTTTCACCACTGGAGAAGTAGACGATCCTCTTCTGCTTTTGCAAAGGTGGACCGTCAAACTCTGTCTCCTGGTCTTGCGGAGAAACCTGACGGATTAGAGAGATTTTTGCATAAACTTTTATTTCAAAGAGAAACACCAAGAGTTGTTCTTACTTATTCCACAACTCACTTCCTGGTGGCTGTCTGTGTTCATTCTTCAGGCGATAAGAGGCCTGTCTTTATGGCGCAGTGGGGAATGCCACAGCTGCACCGAGTGCATCCATCAACGCCAAGTGTCTATGAAGAAAAACCAACTGCAGGATACCAGATGAGTCCTGAAACCTGAGAGGACAAACACACCAGAGCAAATTGTCTCATGACGAGAGCCGTCACTGGCTGCTGTGTCTGCTTCTTATGCCGAGGAGGCCGGGCTTATAGCCGAGGAATGTCAGTTTACCGTCACGTCTGTTTGCCAAACGTTGGAAGCGTACTGTCTGACGCACTACGTTTGAGTCACACCCTCTTTTATTCCTCATGGCATAAAAAGGACTTAAAATGGGGTCATAAAACAAAACAAGGCCAGGTTTTGGTTGTTAACACAAACCATCAGTCATTCCACCCTCAGCTGTTGTGATGTCATCGGTTCCATCGTTGCTAAGATCCAGACACATTTGTGGCCGTATCTGATGATTTTATTCATGCCTCACTCTCTGCCATGCTGCCACCGTCTCAACAGTTTGTCAGCAGAGGAAACAAGACATTGGATATTTACTCACATGTCAAGGATTCCAACATCTCCAAACCAAGACCTCTGCAGGGCAAATCACATCACAACCTCGTTTTTCTCTGCTCTGAATATAAACGTATAGTATAATTCATTAAATTATATTGCATATAATTTAGTATATACAATATATGTGTATATTAACATATTGTATTAAAAGAAGTGAATAGTTCACTTCTTTTCTTTTTCAAACAGAAAAGCGGTAAACTATTTTTCTCTTGTCGTCCTGCTACTGACTACTTGTTTTCTTTCTTTTAAAAACCAGTTTGAAATAAATAAATTAAACTAATCCCTTGTATACAACTGAGAAATAAATAAATCTGTTATAAACATAATATAAAACTACTATAATAGTGCACACTGCAGTGGGGCATATAAGTAAACCCAGATAACATTTTCAGAACAGCTGCAGGTAACTGTTATTTTATTTTACTATTGTGTAATATGCATTTCATTTTTTTAATTTTGTCTTTTGATATATATGGTCTTTGTTAAAAGCTATAAAATTAGATTAAGGCATATTAACATTATGTTTCTGCTCTGGTTGGTCATATTTATCTTCAAAAAAGAAAAGCGAGAGAAAAAAACCTTCCAGCTGCACATATTCCAAAACCAGAGGGAGTAATTGTCCAAATGTAAAATGTCTCAACCAACATAATTGTGAACAAAACTTACATTATGACTGCATTAAGATTTGCAAAGACAACACGTTATAGACGGCAACTTTTCTGACTGATTTAATCCATATGAGTTACATTTTACATGAAGGACACCACATAAGGAGGAGGAAGAAAAGGAAGGAGTTCACACTTCAGCAACGCTGTAGCACCCTCATGAAGAATGGATGCGCACAATTAGCACTGGGCCGACTCCTGCGGTGCCTCAAGAAGCTAAATCAGGTGCTCCAAGTGCAACGAATGACATGTCTAAACCAGCTCAACTTTAAAAAAGTTGAGCAGAGAGGTTCCAATGTGCTATGAATACATCAGGGTGGGTTAAGTTAGTGGATGGAATCAGCTTTATACAGTCTATACAAGTTCCCAGCGGTTACTAACTTACTGATTTAGATTTCATTGTCAAAGCGGGCAGAGATCAGACAGCTGGGGCGACTCAGGTGAAGCTGCTCTGCAGAAAAATCTAAAACTACTGCAGAGGCAGATTCTGCTGTTTCTGTCTTTTAGAGCCACTCAGGACTACATGAAGACCCAGTCCAAAATATACCAGGTCTTTGTGGCATTTACATTTACAAAGTTACATTTTCAAATAAAAATAGTAGCATAACATGATAACCAATTTGAGTTAAAACAATTGTTCCTCCTGCTTTGAAATAATTCCCACATTCTAAGTTGTAATATTGTTATCGCCAACACTTTGTAATATTTTGAAACACAGCCGGAAGGAAAATTATAGAAAACACAACCCAAATAAATTAGTAGTAGTTTGCTTATTGCAGGAAGCGGGCATCGATGTTAATCTGCTCTAACAGTACATGCTTCTGTTAGCATGCTAGCTAGTTTTAAAAAGAGTGATGGGTTCGGTTTGACTGTTTATTTTTGACTCATTGTCATGTAACTTGAGTTGATATTTTACTGGCTTTAGGTGTTCTTTAAATTAGAAAGCTGGAGGTTTAATAATTCTGGATGCTTTTCTAGTTGTTCTTCTAGTAACCTCTTTTAAGCTAGATGGCTAGCCGTGCACAGCAACAAGTGGTGTAGGGAGAACTCTGATTGTTGCTACGGATATTCTTGTACATCTCTCTACAGGGACTTTAAACTGTAGGGACAGTTGAACAGAAGATGTTGGCGACTGTTTAATACGGTGATATCAATAACAGACCATCGCCCAGTCAGTTTATACCTACAGAACAGGGTGCCTACTATGGACAACAGCTACATGGTTAGCATCGTATGCCGAGTTCTAATGTCCGTCAAAAACATTGGATTTCAGCTGCATTGAACTCTATGCCAAGTGTTAGATTGTCTCCTATAACGTTCAAGAACCAAAACATATCAAACAGGCTCACATAGGTGTCTGAGTTTTGTCACCTCAATGTAATATTTAGCCATATCCAGCAATAATAGGGTCTTCTTAAAGGAACAGTACATGTAGAAAACAGCTTAATGTCGCATACAAAAAAGAAAAACTACAATACATGTGATCTAAATCAAATAAATCATCAACGACTACAGCTAAAACAAAGTAAATTCACCATCAATACACACAGTTCTCTTGGATTTCTTGTCATTGTAAATGATTGGATAATGTCATAGTGGGAAAACGCCTCAGCTCAGATACTCTGTATTCAGGTAGTACTCAGAAGGATTGTATGTATGCTGTTACTCAGTCGGGATAAGTTATGTCTGTAGTGATGAACATTCCAAACAGATGTTTCATAGTTGGAGTGCAATAAGTGCTTTTCTTCGGTTGAAATTCTGGATCGTGTTACAGAACTGAACACATAAAACTTGTTTCTCTTCCTGCAGCTCAAAGGTCAGGGTGGTTTGGTCCACCCATCTGTCTCCTATTAACCGGTCTTAGAGAATTTACTGTCTTGGACAGAGAGAACTGCACCTGGTAAAAGTTCTAATCCCAAAACTAGCCACAATATTCCCGTTCGACAACACACATGGTAAACACACTCACTGCATGCCTTCAATTCAACTCCAGAGGAAAATCAGATGGGATGGGCTTTTCTTTTCTTTTTCTTGGACTAGAGCTTCAACTTGCCATCTTTTGCAGGTTTCAGCACACAGATGGGAGTGGATTGTGGGCCTGCCTAGCATACCGTCCGGAGCAGATTTTACACGAGTCAGATTGTTCTGGTAGTGGATCACATCCAAATATAAAGAACATGTTTCAGCATGAATGTAAAATACCATGGATTAATAGTGGGGGGGAAAAAGTCTCCTATGAAGGAAGATAAACAGACGCTGTCTTTATAAACAATGTTTCTTCAGCAGGGTGATGCCAAGATGGAGGCTCTAGGACAGAACACAGCCTGTGTCCTTCTGGGGCTTCAAATCAGGCTCCTTCACCGGCTTCACCTCCTCTTCCTTGGGCTTGGCCTGGTGGGACAGTAGAGCACAGTAAGACATGAACACTGCATCAGGTCAGCTTTTAAGAAAAGCTGTTTAGCATGTCTGAATCAAGCCGTATTAGCATAACGTGACTTGAAGCTGCAGTCTGAAATTTTACAAAGATGTGTTTTGTACATATTTCTCAAAGTTGTTAATGTCTTGACAGCAAAATGTGAGACAGACAATATGTGAAATAATCCTTGTTGTCCTACTGCTCTCTGCAGAAATACACCACTGCCAATCAGAGCAAAGAGGAGGATCTTAAAGCTGCCAATCATCCTCATGTACATACTTCTTAATTTGATAATGGCAGAGAAACAACTTATTGTTTATCCGCCATCATCATCCTTAGCTGTTCGTGACAGACTCTGTTGTGTGGAACCAGCTGTAGTGTATCAATCAATTTACCTGGTTAAATAAAGGTTAAATAAATAAAGAACATAATAAAAAGCAGAGGAGGGGGTGAATAGGATGTACACGAGAGGATTGTCAGCTCTAAGACCCTCCTCTTGGCTCTGATTGGTTGTTTCTGACCGAGCTGTATATTTCTGTGGATGGCAGTAGGACAACATGGCAAAGACACAGGAGCACAATTTTTTTTCACAGATTACCTGTCTCATCTACTCTCAGGACATAGTGACAGAGTTTTAACAAATATGCAAAATAATTATTTATTTATTTATTTATTTATTTTACAAAAGTTGCCTACTGCACCTTTCAAGACTAAAGCGTTCTAATGATCTTGAAAGAAAAATTCTAACTAGGCTTTTATAAACCAGGTATTAGTAGATTACTGCATGAATTCATAAACCGACGGAGCACCTTGTCATTTTTGGCTCCCTTGGTGAGGTCGAAGGTGGCATAGACCTCAGGAGTGCACTGCTCGCTGAGGGGCGGCAGCTCGAAGGGGACCGGCTCCGCCAGACCGTAGCTGGCCTTCAGCTCCAGCTGGGGAGGCTCAGCAGGAACCTTATGGAAGTATCTGTGGAACAATATCCAGGAGAACATTAAATAAACCAAAAAAACAGGAGAACTTTGGATTGTTCATGTTCTTCTCAGCAGTTTGCTACTGTAAAACTGACTAACGTTCAATCAGCTGCTGTTACTGTACAGTTACTGTATGGCCGAGAGTTTAGACAGCAACAATTGTTAAAACACTAACATGATGTTTTAAAATATCTCCAAAGATATTTTAGAAGTTTCAAAGACTTTTATGAGCAAATACTGAGAAAGAATATTATACCCAAATTAATATGAATAATAATTTAATGGATAATGCTATTGATGAAAGAGTGGTGGGTGTAAAAACAAGTTTATATTTCTACCCACTACTTTGAACGTGTAAATGTACATTGCTGTTCTTTTGTTTGAAATTCTGTTTCTTTGTATATAACTTTTTATTCTTTTACTGTGCTACATTTAATAAACTCAAAATGTAACAGTGTTCTCTGGTTCATGTCAGACGGAGGTGTTTCAATGACAGACCACCAGAGTGCACTCCAGCTGAGTCAGCATTATAGTGTGTGTGTGTGTGTGTGTGTGTGTGTGTGTGACTCACATGAAGCCGTTCTCTCTCTGGCACTTCTCCAATGTGGTTTTAATGAGCGCGCCCAGCTTGAGGAAGAACAGCTGCTCTGACGGCTTGGCCGTGGTGCCGGGCCCTTTGGTCTGACGGTACTCTTTACACAGCGCCTCCGCACGGGAGTAACCTGAACACACACTGTGTTAAAACCCACAACATACAGGGAGCACAGTGGGGTCAGGGAGCAAAAGACCTCCCACAACTCAGGACTGGACGTGTACATAACATGGCAATATTATGGAAATGTTTTATTCCCTCTAGAAAAACATATCTGGAGTGTTGCCTTAATTCTTTCATGAATGTCCTTTAGTCTCCCATGGCAACCATTCAGCTGTGCAAAACACATGGGTGGACCTAGCACAACTTTCAAGGCGGTTTCAGAGCTTCCGCCTCACAAAGCAGCCCTCCCCTGTGACTCCTCACTCAGC